CAGGTGCCGTGGGTGACAGAGCCCTCTCGAGCAGCTCCCTGTCCTCACCCCGCCACCCATCACTAACCCCCTCCATCCCTCCTTGTTGTTGTTGTTCTTGTTGTGTGGAACAGCGGCGAGGGCCTTCGCGATTCTAAGCGTGCTGATGAGTGTGGCAGCGGCCACGACGATGGCTCTCAAATTTTTCAAATACCACGACATGGGCCTGCTGCTAAAGCTGACATCTGGCCTGGCCGGCGGTGCAGGTGAGCCCACTGAGACGGCGGAATCAACGGCACTGCACGGCAAGGGCCAATCAAAGCCAAGACAGAACGTGTACAAAGACAAAGATCCCCCCCCCCGTATAGCCTTAACAGACTGTTGGGGCAAGTGCTGTTAGCGAGCACGAGAGGGTGGGTGGCCAGCACCACGCCCGGTCGCCTCTGTCTCTCTGGTGGCGATGTTTGCACGCATCGCGATCCAAACACTTGCAGCAACTGGGTGGCCACGTTTCTCCGGTAGTTTCAATCGGCATCATGAGACAAGACTCGAGTACTGCAACTCGCTTACTCGACGGGACCTCTTGCTGAACGAAAACGGCGTTATAAAGGTCGCGCTCATTACACACAAAGTGCTCGCGAGAAACTAACCACGCTACCTCGCTCATCTCGTCAAGGTGCATAAACAGCATCACGCAAACTCGGGTCGCCCTCGCAGCAGCGGATTTCGGCTCAGCCATCGGACAAAGGCGGTGGCGACCGCAGCATCACACGGCGCTTTCAGACGCGCTTCCGTGGCCGTCTGGAACGCTCTTCTTCCGATGTTAGGAAGTCACTTTAAATCATTATCTAGATCGAACACCTATTTCTTTAGAACTGCTTTTCGTGTTCAGTTTGTTGTACTTCCCCCGGCCCCTCCAATTAGCACGGTTGGTCTACGTACGGGGCGAAAGAAGTTCGACACACACACACACATAGAGTCACACGAACTTGGAATGTGCAGACTGTGACGCCACTGTGTTGCTTCCGCAGCCTTCATGGTCCTCCTGACCGTGATCTGCTTCGTGGTGTTCCTCGTCAACTTGGGCGGCTTCAACTCGTCCATCGGATTCTCGCTCGCGTGCGTGGCGATGGGCATCGATGTGTCCACGGCGAGCCTGGCCATCAGCCTCTACAAGAAGGAAAATGCTGCTCAGCCCAGCGCTTAGCCACGCTCCGACGACGAGCTTATGCAATTTTGAGAATAATTTCTTTTTTTAAATTCACAACTAAGAATGCAATCATGTGCGTGAAGATATATGTCAATAAAGTGTTTCAAACAAAACATTCGTCTTGAATGCATTGAATTATTTCTTGAAATGTTTTTTTTAATCTGCTAAGCAAATTAGTCGAATGTTGCTGTGCAATCCTGCCCGAGCTGCAGGTTTGAATTGCACAGCCCTGCCGACTCCGTATAGAGGGTACTGGGTGGGTTTGGAGTGCGATTATGAACAGTCAGTGTTGGCTAATCACTAAGACGAGGTGGGTTTGTCTACGGCTACAGTGGGAAACCGTTCACGTGGCCTTGAACAATCACAGACCCTCACTCTTCAATCACTCCCCCACCCCCTCCATTCACCAACTTCTCATCAACCAGCACGACAACAACCACCGCCATTCGCCGCTAAGTGGCGGTGACGTCCTCACGGCGCTTGTGCCAGGCTAGGTGCCCTTGTAGGCCGTCACGTTAAGTGTCGAAAGCTCGCTGCTGGCAGGTCACGGGACAGACCCAGCAGGTGCCATGGGTTGACTGAGATGACTACTGGCAGATGCACCACCAGTGCCCCCTACCGTGCCAGCTCGCTGACACTTTGTCTCTCTGCGCTCTTTGTGGGGCCAGACATCCGCCACACCTCAAACACGGCACAGCTTGACATTCATCCAGCGGTGGATTGACACAATTGACGCCTGCTGCTGTATATTTGGAGTTTGCGTGTCTCTCCCTCTCCCCGTGGTCGCGTGGATTTTTCTCTGGGTCCTCCGGATTTTTCCTCCACATTTAGAATCAACATCATCACTCGTTTAAGAGTATCTGTCTGTTATACATGTGCACGTGATGATGATACGTCACTTAGTTGAGCTTTCAGTTTTATGTATTAGGTAGAGCCCTGTGAGCCATGCGGCTCTTGACTCGGGTGCAACTGCAACAAACAAAAACATGAACAAAAAACATCTTAAAGTGACGACGCGCAACAAAAACATCCAGGAAAAAATAGCAAAGTCTTCCAGAAAAAAACACCGCATATCAACGCTGTGTGAAAAAATCGCAGTGGGTTGCAAGTCAAACAATAACAATCATAAGACAATTTAGATTAAAGTAATCAGGCTAACTCCGTACTTCAACAAACATGGCTTAACCATACATTTCCGAAATCACCGAAATAAAGCTATAGAAACAATGTAACAGTGACCATAGGACAAAATAAACGATATTCATAACATGTACGACCTAACTTTGCAGCCATAGCTGGCAGCATGAGTCACTCCATAACAGCAGGAGTATCAGCATGAGTATACAACATTTCAATGCACCTTTAAAGATCAGCACACTATAATCACAACTCAAGATCATACTTTGCAGTGGTCATCCGGAGCGATGCATTTGATTTCAGGCCACTCTGCATAGCAGTGGCAGCTAGGGGTGTACAACTCCTCTAGAGCAGTTTTGAGTGAAGATCTCACAGGTAGTGATCCAAGTTGCAGTTTATTGGCGATAGCATTCCAGACCCTGGGGGCATCAACAGCAAAGGCCCTTCCTCCAGTGTTTGTACGGCAATGAGGAATGTGAAGCTAGTAAATGAGCGAAGACCTTAGGTCACATTTGTTCTTCGAAACAGTGAGGAGATCCAGCAGGTAGTCTGCTGATTTTTTGTAAGTACATCGTGAATAAATAAGATCTGATGCACAAGCCGTCGGTCATGAAGAGATGTTAAGTTTGACCCAATGTAGAAATCGCAGTGGTGGGTCCAATATGGGAAGTTCAGTGCAAATCTTAAGGCCGAGTGAATAATTGGGTCAAGCTTCTTAGTACAGGCCTGGGGGCTGATTTATATACGATGTCACAGTAATGTATTTGTGAGAGCCAGGTCGCTTCTGAAAAAGAGCTACACAGCCCAGTGGGCCTCACCTGGTCAAGGTGTTTTTAAAGTGTTGAAAATGAGTATAAGGACATCCCACATCTCACCAGCAGAGGGCAGGACTCAATAATAAACCTGTGCAGTGCCTCTGCCGAGAGTCGCTGGCGACCCCCTGGTGACCGTTAGCGCGGCCCCTGGTGACCTTTAGCGCGACCCCTGGTGACCTTTAGCGCGGCCCCTGGTGACCTTTAGCGCGGCCCCTGGTGACCTTTAGCGCGGCCCCTGGTGACCTTTAGCGCGGCCCCTGACGTGCAGGCCCCCGACAAGACACACAGAGTGACAACACCCCCCCCCATCATCACCATCATCGTGCTGCTGTCAAACCCCCAATGGTTTCCATAACAGAGGTTGCTTTAGGGTTAGATTGACGGCATATAAATGTGTCGTTAAACCCGCCACCACCCGACACAGGCAACTAGTGAGGTTTGTCACGTAAACAGAACGTGCCAATTCGTGACTGGTTCAGCACTAACCAGTGCTGTGTGTTGGAGAGTAAAACCACGACAACATTAACAGTTCGAGTACCGAGACGTTTCACAACAACAACAACCACCACCAGCCTCATCATCCGACAGCCACATTTATATTGATGCGATCTAACCCCAAAACAAGTCCCATATATCGGTGGCGAAAGCCCTTACGACGTGTTAAACTGACCCACCCAATGGTTTCAAATGGGTGGCGGCCCTCAACACTGACGATGTCTCATGGACGAACGTGCCCCCCCCCCCCCTTGAACGTGAGTGAAGAGCGCTCCTGTGAAGCCTCAAGCGTCGAACGACGATGGGGGCTGACTGAAGAAGCCGTTCATCAGACGTGCAGCGGGCGATGGGAGAGACTCGGCGAGGCCAAAATAAGGCCGTCTCTGGTGTCGGCCACAATGCATATGTCACCAGAGTCCGTTTGCATGTTCACCACGAATATCGTGCGTGCTTGATGGAGACGTTGATTCCTTGTGGTGTGTGAACATCTTAACAAGTTAGAGATTGCTGCTACTGCCTAGCCCGACAAGACGTCTCTCCTAGCCAAGTAGCAGCATCCTGCTGATGCTGCCTAGCCCCCACCACTATCGCTTCCCCTGTCACCACCCCTACCAATACCCCTATCACCACCCCTACCAATACCCCTATCGCAACCCCTGTCACCACCCCTACCAATACCCCCTATCGTTACCCCTACCACCACCCCTACCACCACCCCTATCACTACCCCTATCACAACCCCTACCCCTATCGCTATCCCTATCGCAATCCCTATCACTACCCCTATCACAACCCCTATCACTACCCCTATCACTACCCATATCACAACCGCTACCTCTATCGCTACCTCTATCGCTACCCATAGCAAGCAAAGTTAATATCACAATCATTGTTAATAAAAAATGGCTTTTGGCCATTAATGGATTAATTTTGAAACACTCGCACTGCCATCATCATCTTCACCATCAGCCATGGTCAATCCACTGCTGGATGAAGGCTTCCCCAAAGCCAAGGCCATCTCTAACGATGCTGCGGACATCCTCAGAAGCGTGCCATCACTTCTCTAAGTCTCCCCAAGTTCAACAAAACAACAATGACAACACACACACTCAACTGCGAGAACGTGGTGCGGTGTGGGGTGTTTGAGTGCTCGTGCTGTTTCACTAAATGCCCGTGTCTCCTAATCCTCCCCCCCCCACACACCCAGGCAGGGAACAAAGACGACGGAGACGACACGAGATAGCCGCCACGTGACAACGAGGTGATGTGTGACGTAACGGCATTGTGGACGAGGGCGCGTTCTTTTTTTTATTTGTTTCACACACACAGAGACACACACACAGGCACACACACAGACACACACACACATACACAAGCCGTCCCCTGGCGGTGGGCAATAGCATCAGAGAGAGAGACGGAGAGAACACGGAGCCCCAGAGAGAGAGACGGAGAGCGGTTGTGTGAGTCATGAGCCACTCCACCGCCAATGCCCCGCCGAGGAGCCGCCTCTGAAAGACGCCACGGACGCCTCCCGCGACGGCTTGTTTACGCAACGGACGCAACAACAACAACAAACAAACAACAACATTTGGCACGAGTAAAGGATGAACGACACGTACCACAAGGCTGCCAGGGATGGCTACCTCGACCTCCTGAGAGAAGCGACTAAAAAGGATTTAAATGCGCCGGACGAGGACGGCATGACCCCGACTCTGTGGGCCGCGTACCACGGCAACTTGGACGCCCTGCGGCTCATCGTCAGCAGAGCGTGAGTGCGACTTGTTGTGTGATTGTGGTGTTTCTTGTTTAAATATTTTTTTTCCTGGAACCCGGGCTCAAGAAAAACAACTCCGCTCGCGAGAAATGAGAGCGACTGGTTTGCGATGTGCGCGCGTTGACGTTTGTAGAATTTCGCGTTCGGACAAAGTTGTCTAAACTCCAGCACCCAGACAATGACGATGCCTTCTAGATAGATGGATGGGTGAATACAACAACGGTGGCATCGACGCGGTTCACCGCGAGCGAGAGCGACTTTTGACAATTTGCGTGCGACGGTAACGAGAGAGCGCGCCTGAAGCTCGGCGCTTGAAATGCGAACCCCGATTCGTGGGGTGCGGAAAACCACGACACGAGCCCCGGGCCGCGTGCTGGACAGCGGAGTGCAGCGTGCGAGTTGTGTTCAGGTTACGGTGCCCGTGTGGAATCTACCGGCAGGATGTTAACTACCTCGTCTGGTTTGCAGGAGGTCGTGGCTTTCGAGCGCGACCCTGCTGACGCCCGCGGTATATTTGTAGTTTGAATGCCTCCCTCCACGTTTAGAATGAACGTCACGCCGTGAGATTATTTAACTGCTTGCTATGAATTTCCACGTGGTGACGATTGGCCGCTATCGGGGAGCGTTCTCGTTTGTGGCCAGGTGGCTTCTGGAATAGAGCTGTACATCTCAGTGATGGCCTTGCTGTTGGTGAAATACAAAATAGAATCGTCGTGGTACATTGTCTGCTCTGTCAACCGCAACGCGAATATCGCGAGCATTACTCTCAACCGACTTAAACTAAACTATCAACCAGTTTTACATAATGTATTTTTTTGGGTTAGATCGCGTAAATAGAAATGTGTCGTTAAACCCGCCACCACCCGACACAGCCAATTAGATACGGTTTGTTAGTAAAAAAAACATGCCAATTCGTTACTAGTACAGCACACCGCTTGTGTGTTGCAGAGTAAACCCGCGACATTTACAATCTGAGTACGACGTTTCGCCAGTAATTAAACTAGTTTGTATCTTACCAGGTAAGGCATGGCAAATTGCAGTGATAAAACGTGCATACATGCTCATCATTTATAGCCCTCTATCAATCCACTGCTGGATGAAGGCCGCTCCATGCCTTGGGGGTCATGGAGGTTATCTGACGACCCCAGTGACGGGTTCAGATACGGGCTCAAGATATTACTCGCCACCGATGTGAGTCGCGGTTATGGCAATGGAACTCACGTGGCTGGGTTCGTAGCGCAGTGCACACTAACCACTGCACCACCACTCTCTCACCCCATTCGTTGCTGTTAAGTGACGTTTTAAGTAATGTTTTAAGTAATGTTTTAAGTAATGTTTTAGGTAATGTTTTAGGTAATGTTTTAAGTAATGTTTTAAGTAATGTTTTAAGTAATGCGCGATAGTAACTACCTCTCCTGGTATGCAGGAGGTCGTGGGTTCAATCCTGGCCCTGACGATGCCTGCTGTATATTTGGAGTTTGCGTGTCTCTCTCTCCCAGTGGTCACGTGGGTTTTTCTCCGGGTCCTCCGGTTTAATCCATCCACAGTTAGAATCGGCATCACCACGCGTTTAGAGTATTTGGCTACTGCTCTAAATGTCCACGTGATGATGATAAGCCACTTCGTTGGGCCCTCATTTGTGATATCCAGGTCGCTTCTGAAAAAGAACTGCCTCGGTCAGTGGGGCCTTACCTGGTAAAATAAAAACTAAAAACATTTGTAGTTTTAACATAATTGTGTCCATGTACAATTGCAAGGATGTTGAGCATTGCAATGATCACATTTTATAGATTAACTCTCTGTAAACCTTTGCTGCCATGGTCATAAGTTGCTGTTGAAAGCTCTCCTGAAACATACGCACACTCAAGGTGACAGATGATGTTATAATCAGCCGTGGGAAATGTAGATTTCGATATGGTCGAAACGTCATGAAGTATATTATACTTCTTAAGGCCACAGCTTTATTAACACTATCAATGCGGCAGCGGCATCACCGAATAAATAAATACAACTCCTGGTGGAATGCAATGCACGCGTGTCCTGTATCGTGCGAGTGAAGAGTACTGCGTGAAGCAGAGCAAGTGCCCCGAAGGACCGCCAGCAGGAGATGGAGCAATGAGATGAATTCTTGTGCAGGAGCGAGATGGATTTTGGCATCGTCAGATCGTGATAGATGGTCACGCTGTCGATGAAGTCTCCATCCAGCAGTGGATAAACCATGGGTGCGGATGTTGCTGCTGATGATGATCTATGGATTTACATCAGCTGTCAGTGCTATATCTCGCCAAGATCTTGGGGACGGGAATGCTGGACACAAAAATAGATGACACATGATACATCCAGAGGTCGGTAAGAGAGAGCTTTTGTTTCAGTTTGTTTCCGTTGTAAGATTATCCAGCATAATCTGAATATAAGCACACCTTGCATAAGCAGAGTGCTCATGAAGCAACACGTGCTGACATTACACGGGTGGGGAGCAGGAAAGGAGGGAAAAAAAACGTCTAACATAAGCACACTGCTTTGGATATAAGCAAAGCGTGGCTTGCTTCGAAGGACTGTGTTTCTCGCCAGCTGTCACATTACCAGGCACTGTGATTGAGGGGCATACGTTGTAAAGCTGCCCATTGATATTCCGTAAGAATAAGTGTGTGTGTTTTTCCGTCTGGGCTTGATAACTTTTAAGTCTCCTATAGCCGAAATTTGTTGGCGCTTTGAGTGCCAGATTTGTGCCAGACGCGTCACGTGTTTAAGCAAATTAAAAATTCACTTGACTTTGTTCTTAACCAGCAGTGGATTTTACACATTCCCAGGACAAATACAAATTAAAACTATTTAACTTCATTTAGCAGGTAAGACCCACTTACATATGTAGATATTTTTCCAGAAGCGACCTGGCTATCACAAATGATAGCTCAATCAAGTGGCTTATCACGTCAAAGTTCACAGCAACCAAATTATGTAAACGCACGATGTTGATTCTAAATGTGGAGGAAAAAACGGGAGGACCTGGGGAAAAAATCCACGCAACCGCAGGGAGAGAGGGGACATGCAAACTCCCAATATACAGCAGGCATCGTCAGGGTCGGGATTGAACCCACGACCCCTGCATGCCAGGCGAGGTCGTTAACATCTCGCCACCTCGGCACTCAGATGACTTCCCGGAAAGTAGTCTGCTTTTTCGACCCCCGACGTGATGATGGGCTTATCCAAATAGTAAGGGTTGTCACGTGAACAAAATATGCCGATTACGTTACTAATTCAGCACACCGGTGCGTTGGAGAGTAAACCCAAAACATTTCTAATTCGATTACCGTGACGTGTTGCCGGTAGTTACAACAACGACATCATCATCAGGCGACGGCCAGAGTTGTGCGAGTCGGGTCATTGGAGGCCTGCTGGGGACCCCGGGGGGAGTGGGGTGGGAGGGCGAACACTCACTTCAAGAAGATCCGCATGGTCAGCCACAAACAGCACCACCCCTCCCCCCCCTCCTCCCCCTCCTCTCCTCTCCGCCCGGGTGCAGCGCCGAGTGCATCCGCATCGTCAAGCACCCTCGGCTGGTTGCACAGAGACTTCGTCCTCGTCGATCACGTCGATAGAGGCACCGCGCCGGGCCCTCCACCGCGGTGGTCGTTTAAGGATGCTGGTGGTGGCGGTGGTGGCGGTGGCGGTGGTGGCGGTGGTGGTGGCGGTGGTGGCGGCTGTGGTGGCTGTGGTGGCGGTGGTGGCGGTGGTGGCTGTGGTGGTGGTGGCGGTGGTGGTGGCGGTTGTGTTGGTGGTGCTGCTGATGGTGGTGACAGTGGCGGTGGTGGTGGTGGTGGCGGTGGTGGCGGTGGTGGCTGTGGTGGCGGTGGTGGCGGTGGTGGCTGTGGTGGCTGTGGTGGTGGTGGTGGCGGTGGTGGTGGCGGTTGTGGTGGTGGTGCTGCTTGTGGTGGTGACAGTAGTGGTGGTGGCTGTGCTGGTGGTGGTGACGGTGGTGCTGGTGGAGGTGGTGGCGGCAGCGGTGGAGGTTAACGCGGTTGTAAGTGGCGCTTGCCAAGATGCTGCGTCGGGACGACGAACCAGGGCCACGTGAAACTAAACTTAAGAACGAAACAGGAGGAGGATTTCTCCATGTTTTGTGTACGTGACAAACCTTACTAATTGGCTGTGTCGGGTGGTGGCAGATTTAACGACACATTTATATTTATACATGATCTCACCCAAAAAACCTTGATTATGGATTAAACTAAACTACTAAATTAGTTTATTTTATTTTAACCAGGCAAGCCCCCACTGAGCTGTATAGCTATTTTTCAGAAGCGACTTGGCTATCACAAATGATAGCTCAACAAAGCGGCTTGTCGCGTGGAAATTTGTAGCGCACATTGATTCCAAATGTGGAGGGAAAATCTGGAGCACCCGGATAAATATACACGCGACCATAGGGAGAGAGACGCAAACTCCAAACATACAGCAGGATCGAACCTTTCAACCTCCTGTATACCGGGCGAGGTAATGAACATCCCCTAGCCTCCGTGGCGCCCCACATTTTAACGCAAGTGGTCCCCCAGTGGTTGCTCCCGTATCTCTCTTCGAAGCAGATTCGTTGTGTGTCTCCACACTTTGCCCCAACAGTCTGTCAAGGCTATACGGGGTATCTTTGTGTTTTATATATATACATTATATTATCTGGGGAGCGGTGGCGCAGTGGTTAGCGCTTTGCGCTATGAATCCGGCGAAGACCCGAGTTCGATTCCTGCTCAGGGCCAGCACTGGTGACGATTACGGAACTGGTCCTGGGCCTCCCCTAGGTCGACTCAGCCTCAAATGAGTACCTGGTGCGATGTGTAAACATCGGCACTAGGGAGACAAAGGCGGCCGGGCATGATGCTGGCCACCCAACCACTCGTTTTCTTTCTAAGAGCACTTGCTCCAACAGTCTGTTGAGGCTATACAGGCGACTCTTGTCTTTGTATATATATTGTACATAAATGTTGTTTTAGTCCATCCGC